GCGCTCGTGCCCTGCCAGGTGCTGCGGGTGGCCATCCTGCTGTCCTACTGCTCCATCCTGTGCAACTACAAGGCCATCGAAATGCCCTCGCATCAGACCTACGGCGGGAGCTGGAAATTCCTGACGTTCATTGATCTGGTAAGGCCGTCCCCTCCCCTCTCCGGTCCACGCCGCGCCCCGCGCTCGTGTGTGTTTCGGGGGGCGCGCCTCCCTCAGCACCCTGTGCTCTGCTCGCGTCCTCCCCAGTGGGTGCGTCTCAAGGCCTGGCTGTCCCCGCTGCGCCGCCTCGGGAGCCACCCAGCCTTACCCGGTGGCTGGAGGACGAGGAAGGTGCGCAGCGAGGCCGGTGGGCCATTTGGAAGGGGACACAGACCTGCGCCTAAGATGACATGGGAAGATTCTTCGATTACCGAACGCGTCGGACGACCTTGGTCGTGAGTGGCTTCAGACCCGTTCGCCCCCAAGGTGCTTTCCAGAGCACCACCAGCGGATAAACTTGCAGCAGCCGAAGGACGCTGGGTATTGTCTAGTTACTGGGAGCTTTGCCCCAAAGCACACAAATTCTCCTAAGGGAGAGAAAGTACCCAATAAAGTTGTCGTCTTTGCATCTGCTTTCTGCCCCATTGTCAGTAATTTACAGTACTTCCAACCTTTTCCCCAGAAACATTAGGGAGCCAGAGTTTCAAAGTGCATTTGTAGCCTAGCTGTGCACCGCTCTCTCCTTATGTAAAGTCGGCAGTAGTTTACATAAGCAGCTCCTCTGTTGACACAACATGATGCCCTTAATGGTGAAAGTTATTATAATAGCGTCTGGCCCTAAAGGGCTCCTACAGAGACTCAGACTGTGGGCGTACGGCCCATAAGGTGGATTTAGGCCCTTCTGAATGAAGGGTGATTAAATCCAGGTAATACACTCACACAGACACACACACACACAAATACACATACTCATAAAAGATGAACCTCTAAGGGAAGAGGGTTTAAAAAACTTATCAGTGAAGTTCTGTATGATTCAAAAAAATGTAGAACTAACTCCCAGAATGGTAGAACCATCTGTCCAAGGTTATACACAAGGTTGACCATACCAACAAGGTTGTCATCTCTTTCCTTGACCCTTGTATTGAAGAAGGTATCTTGATACGTTTTCAAAGATCTTTCCAAAGGCATAAGGTGCCTCAGAGCAATGTACTCAGAGCCCTTAGAAGTATCACTTGCCATTATGTTATATGAGATAATTTTGGAGAGGAATTTAAATTCTTTCCCTCCGTCCCTGGGCACACAAGTCTGCCTGTGGCGTAGTGTTTACGTTTTCAGACTGTCCATTTCTCACTCTTCGCTGAATGTAATCTGCCTCTGCATATGGGAGGAGCTTCCCTTTCTTCTTTCTATTTATCCATGTAAGCAGCACGTGGCATAGCTCTGTGCTGTGGTTTTCTGCTGGTTCCTTTTAGCTCCCAGAGGATAGATGGCCGTCAAAAGGACACTTTTCATACCTGGACAAATTGGTTTGACAGTGAGGATTGGCTATGCCAGTTGTGTTATGTAGCAGACATTTTGTATAGATTGAGTGAGCCCTGCAGCCCAGAAGTTCTGATAAATATGTGTGGAAAGCATGTTTACCACACATAAAGTGTCAGAAATTATGTCCCTTCAAGAGTTTGACCAGTGACGGTTAGATGTTACTGAATATGTGCATCCATTTTCAGAATCCTTTTAGGTATTATGTGAGCAAACATCCTTTGGGTCCAAAGCCTTATCTTATTCCTAATTCAGATCTCAGACCCTTGGAGTGTTGCCAAGGAGTGAGCAGTGGACTGTCTACACTGTTCAGCTGTGCCCTTGCTTTATTCGCTGTTTTGGATCAGCAGGTGAGAGGGGTAGAATGAGGGCGTTAGTTAACCCAAGAGAGATGACTACTTCTCCTACTGGCATTGCTTACAGTGCACTAGAAAACAGGGCTCACAAGAAACAATATACCTGTAACCTTTTGTGTGACATGAAACAGTAGGAGAGTCAGTTGGGTATGCTGTCATGCAGTTTCTTTTTTGGCGTTCGGTGATAGGACTTTCCTATTCTACATGATAATAATCACAATTTAGTCTCCCACTAGTCAGGCCATCAATTCAAATTCAGTTTTTTAAACTTTATTTCATTCTTGTATTTGACTCAGTATTTTCATAGGGGCTTTAACCAATCACTCTAACTTTTTTTTACTCTATGGCTCCTGATTGATGCCTCAAAGTAGGTGGCAGGACCTTAACTGTATGCATGCTGGCAGACCCAAGGGCCTCTTCCATCCTTGTCAAGCAGAGTGCTAACCTTCTCTCCTGTCATACAATACATGCCTCTGGATTGGAATAAAATAATTTTCTTTATCCAGAGTTTCTGTGAGAAAGTATATCTGGAATATATTCATAAAAACACATGAAGTGTTATTCCTTTCATTAGAGATTTAGAGGCCTTAGCATCTAAGCATCATACAGCTGTTAAAACAATCAAGCTGTCAGTACTGCTAGGCAGCATGAAAAGATCAGGCTACTAAAATTTACCTGTGTAATTCTACATCTGTGTGTGTGTTTAAAAAAACCACTGAATAAACTTTATTTCCTATTGCCTTGGACAGTTTTAATGGCTGTAAGTTTATGGGAGCAATTTTAGAAGCTTTTCAACATTTTAATACGAAGACTTTTTTCTGACTGACTTGGATTGCAGAGGCAGGGCATCAGTCCTGATGGCCACAGTTGGAGTCCACATTCTGTAGCATCAGCTACTGGAATGGGAGTAAACTCAGGAAACTGGAGCCAATGTATCCAGGTGCAGATGGCTATGTGATAGCTGCCATTCCAGCCATTTTCATATTTCTGTTTGGGTAGGAGAGTCATTCCAAGAGAACTAGAGCTTGTGGACAAAAGGTGAAGGATAGATTGTCACTACCAGTAATGGTACACAGCCATTCTCCAAGAGCTGCTTTTCCCAGTATTGAAAGACTGTAATAGAACTAAATGGTGTTTGGAAAATTCAAGTTATCAAATGGAAAAAGAAACACTGTCTTGGTGTGGTAGACAGAATCATGGAGCCCGAAAGATGTCCACATCCAAGTGCCTATAATCTATGACTATGAGAAGTTATATGGCAAAGGGAAATTAAGGTTGTGGGTGGAATTAAAGTTGCTGATCCACCAAACTGTGAAATAAGGAAATTATTCTGGAATATCCATCTGGGCTCAGTATAGTTGTGAAAGTCCTCAAACGTGGGATAGGCAAAAAGAGAAGAGTTGGAGGAAGATGTGACTTTGGAAGAAAATCAGAGGGAGAGGCAACATTACTGGCTTTGAAGATGGAGGAGGAGGCTCTGAGCCAAGGAAGCATCTAGAAGCATCTAGAAACAAGGATGAGGAAATGGATTTCTTCCTAGGGTTTCCAGAAGGAACACAGCTCTGGTGATACCTGGATTTTACTCCAACGACTTCTTATCTCTACAGTTGTAAAATAATAAACTAGTGTTGCCCAAGCCACTAAATTTATCATAATTTGTTATCACAGCAATAGAAAATGAATACAGTTGGTTTTACAACCTTTGACCTAGAAAAAGCTTTAACTGTTTTTGTACTTATAGAGAATAAATACAGGACTCAACTTGTCCTTTATGTATATTAGATAATTGGCTGGTTTTAGCTTTAACCAAAATGGGTTTTCCTATCTTCATTCATGAAGCTATGTGGAGGAGACACGCAGACATATATATGGGCATTATAAGAAGTCATAAAGACTGAACAACGTTGGAAATACCAGGCCTTTTCTTTACTGTGAAGTTTTTCAGAAACTGTTGTTATGCTTTGTACCTGACCAGGAGAAGGAATCTTCTTTACTGGAAATAAGAAAACAAATAAAGATTTAAACAAATTAAAATATTTCCTTAGTCAATATCACAGTTCATGAATTTCCTTCAAGTGGTGCAGATGTACTCCTTTATTTACTAGCTAAACAATCATTCTCCAAGTTACGTAATTGCCCTAAAAGATGAATAATAAAAAGAATAAAGTAAAACTAGCGTAAATAAGTAAAACAAGGCAACTCTGTTTTGAGGCCTTAAAGTAGTGCTTGGAGTATAGTAGGTGCTTAGTCTGAAAAAATGGAAACTTTCTCTTTCCAAATTTTTAAGGGGTATACTTTCCCTTGTCTTCTCCCCAAACATTAAAAAAAAAAAAAAAAAAAAAAAATAGGACTGGTCAAATGTTTGACAGATCTCAGACTCAACTTCTTTGAAAAACATGAACTGGGTATTTGGTATTAAAAACTGAACTAATAATGACATTGGACTTGAGACTTTTCGACTGTTAAAAATTGAAACGGAGATCTGGCTCTCTCCTTTGCTCTAGTTTGTGGTGCTTAGTGTTTTGAGCATTGTTGTATCTTAGGGCTGTACCCTGCTCATTTCTCCCCCTGTACGGACTTTTCACATATGCTTTGGCAGAATGCTGTTGAGACAATGCTTATGCCAGTGTGGGCTGAGACAGGAGTATCAGCCTTCTTTGGGAGCCAGCTCCACCTCACACTTCTCAATCAATTTGCATCTCAATGAGAGCCTCAGCTGATTCCTGTGCACATTCTAGTTTGACGGACGCTGAACTGTACTATTTTGTTTTGTAGTTTAATGTGGAATAGCTAGGAGACCCAGCCTTCATATATCAATTCTGTCCACTTTCAAAACATATTTAAGGTATCTTTCGCTATGACATAATTAAAGATATGTTAAAAAATACAAGTTGTAAATAAAAGAGAAAAATAGGTTTTAGGCTCCAGGAATGGATTAGTTATTGTATTTGAAAAAGAAATTTAGATAATTTCCACAGAAGCTAAAGCAAAAAGGAATACATTATTTAATTATAAAGGAAACCTTACAATTTATCAGGAAAAATACAGTTTCTTTCCAAGTACTGACTGTTCAAGTTTACTTAGCACTGGGCCCTTCATATAAAGGATATCAGGCAGCATAATAAATAATACCTGCAATCATTTGTTAGCAGACTATATAGAAATACTCTTAGAGTTGATATTTTTTATATTGCAATGTTATGAAAGCCAAAGACAGAGTCTCGTGTTTTGGCTGGGTGAAAGAATTTTTGTAGAAGTTTAAAG